GACCCTCGGTACCGGGGCACAGCGGCCCGGGGACCGCACCCTGCCCGGTCTCGGCGCTGCCCCGCTCTCCCTCACCCTGCTGTCCCAGTCCTGATCCTTCCTCCCTGTCCCAGTCCTGATCCTTCCTCCCTGTCCTAGTCCTGATCCTTCCTCCCTGTCCCAGCCCTGATCCCTATCCCCTGTCCCAGCCCTGTCCCCCATCCCTTCTCCCAGCCCTGTCCCCCACGCCCGGTCCCAGCCCCGATCCCCACCTGAAGTCCCATCTGCCCAGTGCGCTGCAGGCAGCCCCGGGATGCCCGGATAACATGGCCCATTGCAGACCCCATAACTCTCCCCGCTGTGCAGTCACAGGGCGATGTGTCAGCCCTTGAGTGCAGGGGCAGTTCCAGGGATTCCTGGATGTTTGGTGCGCCAGTCTGCCGTGCTTTATATAACAGGTGTCTGGTGCTCACAGGTGCTGGGCACTGTTCTTCGTGGTTGCCTGCAAGCCCCTGGCATCCTCATCTATCCTTCACACCACCAGCGAGTTCTGTATGCTGCCTGCTGTGGGGCTGTCACAGCCCTAGAGTGGCCCATGGCCTGATGCTGGTGACCAGATATGTCTCTTGCACATTTTGGGGTGGTCACCCCAGTCACTTGCTTTCTGGTGTAAGTGCACTATAGGGCTCTGGGCCTTGCTTTTCAGGCTGCTCCTGCTCCCCAAGTAGCTGATTTGGGTTATTTTACCTTCATTTTCTCAGGCAGGGTCTTGCTTTCTGTCCTTCTTACATTTATTGGATCCTTTCAACAGTGTCTTTGGATGGTGTTTACAACAGCTCACTGCTCCATATCCTCTGCTAATTTAATGACAATTCATTATACAAGTAAAAGCTGGGGAAATGGTGTAAAACAAGACCCTGAAGTTCAGCTAAGTTGATTCTTGCTTGCCTCATCAAAAAAGCTTTGCCCAATGATTCTTCTGAAATAACTGCCCTGGGCAAACCACTGTCCATCATTCATTGTGTTGGTATGCAGGCTCCTATAACTGCCAGTTTAGTTCTGGACCAGGGATAGGAACAGGGTTTATCCTGTTCTCAGCTCTGGTTTTGTTCTTTCTTGCAGAGAAAAACAGTGCCTTGTTTGCTCTACCCATCGCTAGGGCCCTGGTTTCTTGGCACTGTGTGTCAGCAGGTTAATAGGTTCATCTTTGCACTGGCCAGGCTGGCCAGGTGACTGTGTCTGTGTGGACATGCTGTTTTTGCTTTTCCTGCAGCTGTTTTTGCAAGGCCTCTGCCTCATTTGCATTTTTCTGTTTAAAAACAGTGATTTTTCCCTTTTGAGTCATCTTTATTTTTGAGCCATCATTAATTTTCTCTCCCTCCTTGTTTATTAATAGACCTTTTCACTTTTGTGCTGATTCTGCCTGGGTATATTTGTAAAGTCCTTTGTATTCCCCTTAGCATTCTGGCTGTTAACTCCTTCTGCTGGTTTGTTGTCCCTTCCCTCTCCCCTGCCCCCCTGCAGCTGTGAGGGGACACTATTGACTTACAAATCATCTTCCTGTCTTGAATGTTCCCCTTCTCTTGTTCTAGGTATCTCCTAAGAGCATCTATTCCAGGTGTCTCCTAAGAGTACTGGAAGTGAAAGGCATGATTGAAATCTCTCTCAGTGCCTTTGATGCTTTTGCCACCTCCTCACATAGCCGATGTTTGCTGTGGCTGCTGGCGAGCTCTTTCTCCTGGCAGCAGGGGACAGGATGTCTTAAAGCCCACGGGGCTGTGGGCAGGAGTTGGATGGAGTGCAGCTCTTTGCTCCTTGAATGCTTTGCTTTGCCTTGCACCAGTGGCTGTGTACATGCCTTTGCTCTGTCTCCACCAGGTCCTTTCCTGGCCCCGTTGCCTGCTGCTGAGCCAGGTGGCCTAGGCTGGAGCTCTGCTGAGAGCAGGTGAGGTACAGGGTAACCAAAACCTCTGACAGTCCTTGCCTGGGCTGTCAGGGGCTGGTGTTGTGCAGTTGGTAAGTGTGCCATGGCACGTGCCTGGCATGGGATGAGCCCTGCAAGTGGCAGGTTCCCCAGTGGAGCTGTTTAGAATCTCCTTGTTCCTGCCTTTTTATTAATCTTGTTATTGTAGTTATTTTTTTCCCCTTCAAAGAGCCCAATCTGCTGCAGGCTGTAAAGAGTGACATTGTGGTGTGCGAGCTACCTGCCAAGGCTGCGTGAGGTGCCCCAAGGCTCCTGGTCCCCCAGTATTGCCATCCCTGCTCGTTGTCAAGGCTTTAAGGTTATCTACTCTATCGATGGGAATATGGATTGAGTGGAATTAGAAACCTCGAAGGCTAAAAATACAGCTCCCTGCCAGGAAATGCGGCAGCCTGCTGAGAGGGTGCTGTGTGGCACTGAGACTTCTCCAGGAGCTGGCATGTTCCACATGAGCACCACAGCCCAGCATCCGTGCCTGTTCCCAGGTTCCCTGAGCAGGGCTGTGGCAGGCTTG